AATAAACATAATATAAAAAAATGTTCATTGTGGTAAAGGAAATAATAATTTGATCTATGTAAGAGTTTCTTTTTTCTTCCTGATATGTAAAAAGACCTTATGTGATAGGAAAAAATGAATATTATTTTCGAAATTTGCATAGTTGAATTATAAAAAACCTGTTTTTAAAACCAAAACAACTTTTATTAAGTTTAAATTTGCAGGCCTGTGTAATTTGATAACAGTGAAACTTTGCAAGATAACATTTGAGTGAACTCTGACTGAACATATAGCTTGTTTTGTCTTTGTAAGAAATTTCTGAATATTATTTTGCAATTTCATATTTTATTGTAAGAAATGATGCATTATAAGCATAGATTAAATGGCCGGGAAAAATTGGGGAATTTAAGTCTGCCCACAATGTGAAAACCATCATAACCAAAATTAACAAGTGTTTCCTTCCCACATACAAACTCACTTAACATCACTTTCATTTTTCATACACTTTAGTGATCACAGTAGTGATTGTGTTTAGTTTTACTTTGAGTCAAATTCTAAATACAACCATAAAAAAATTAGGCACTGACTTATATTTAAGGAGTAATTTATTATTTCTTTTATAGTTCAACAATTTTGTGCATACAAAACTTCCCCCAGTAAAAGCAGAATAAAGTGATGTTTGAACCTAACTCGGAATGAATCATTTACAGGGTATTGCAGGAACTGATGTTGCTAAGGAAGCCTCTGATATCATTCTCACTGACGACAACTTCACTAGTATTGTAAAAGCTGTGATGTGGGGGCGTAACGTTTACGACAGCATTGCCAAGTTCTTGCAGTTTCAATTGACAGTAAATGTTGTGGCTGTTATTGTTGCCTTTATTGGAGCTTGTGCCATAGAGGTTTGTGGTTTGTTTATCTTTTTAAAAAATCTCGCTGTGTATAATTATTCTAACTTACATTTTTATGAATTTTTTTTGTAAGTAAAACTTGTACTTATCATCTCTTTTGGGGCTCGGATCCCCATCCCACCAAACATGCTCGCCCTTTCAGCCGTGGGGGCGTTATAATGTGATGGATAATCCCACTATTCGATGGTAACATAGTAGCCCAAAAGTTGGTGGTGGGTGGTGATGACTAACTGCCTTCCCTCTAGTCTTACGCTGCTAAATTAGGGACGGCTAGTGCAGATAACCCTCGTGTAGCTTTGTGCAAAACTAAAAAAACAAACAAACAAACATCATCTCTTTTGTTTAAATATTTTTGTTATGCAAAAAATGAGATTTTTCAAGGGATACATTAAAAATTAATGTTAAATTAATTAATACATTGCTTTTTTTCTAAATGTTTAACCCTTTCACTGTGGCTAGATTGTATATCTCCCAGTGTGCACTGGGAAATATATGTTCCAGCCTCAGTTAATTGGTTAAAACTTACAGATAGATAATATGCAGTATATTAGTCAAATAAATTATCTTAATGGTAGTATTTTGATAAATATAAATTGATACAGACTGATAAAGTGTATACAACTTATTGTATTACTTATAGCAGGTAACGCTTATTATCAAGAAGGTTAGCTTTTTGTTCTTGTGGATGATAGTAAAGTTAATTCAAATATAATAATAATAATAAATGAATAACCACTGTTAAAAAATAATAATGTTGTGTTATTAATTCCTACCCAAAAAATCTAACTTGTAAATTATTGAAGCTGACATCGTTTATTTTTTATTTCCATACAGGACAGTCCTCTGAAAGCAGTGCAGATGTTGTGGGTCAACTTGATTATGGACACATTAGCCTCTTTAGCCTTGGCCACCGAACAACCTACGGCTAGTCTACTATTAAGAAAACCGTACGGTAGAACCAAACCCCTTATCTCCCGCACAATGATGAAGAATATCCTTGGACATGCTGTTTATCAATTAACTGTGATCTTTATTCTGCTCTTTGTTGGTTAGTTGTACTTTCTTCTGTTTATGATAATTGGATATCGTTCTTTGAAATACAGTGCTCTGATTGGATACAAATACTTTAATTTCACTGGCATTAGTTAATATAGAACTTTTTGTGTGAAACCCTGAAAAGTAACCCAGATATTACATTACTTCTTACATTTATTTCTGTTTAAGAATAATGTTATTCAACATTTTGTGTTGAAATGCAAGAAATAAGAATTTATAGGAAAGCTGTTTCCAAAAGCATAAGAATGGAATAAATATGGAGCTTGAAAAGCATTACAAACTGTGAAAGTAGTTCGTGTTGAAAATATAAGTAGTTTGTGTACTGTTGTTTGTAGTATGTAGCATTGTTTGTCCTTTTAAATTTACAACATAAGTTATTTATAAGAAATATTTCTTAAGTTTTGTGTTTTGTTTTAGCATAAACTGTTTACTAAACTCATCATAATTCATGTGAGCAAGAACAAAAATAGTCATAATATATTAACTGTGATCTTTAAAAATTAGTAGGCATACGTCACATAAATTTAAAAAAACATGGTAGAAAAGAAATAAAGTCATTTTACTAACTGCTAAGTATAGCAGTCAATAAGTATACATCACTTATAAAAAAAATAAAAAAAACATGGTAGAGAAAGACAGTTACTGTCTACCAACTGTTAATTGTGAGAGAGTCTCGGGAAGTAAAGCATATGTAATGAAGTCACTGTTGAGGAATATTCATTTGAAGCAAATATTTTTCAGTGGATTTTTTCCTTATTTTTTCAAATGTACTGTGAGAGAGATTAATCTAGCTGAGAAAAAAGTTACACCAGCTGGAGATCATTTAAGGTAAAAAACAATTAATTGTTACTAAAACTTATTAGTGGAGTAGTACATAATGCAGTTCAGCTAATGTTTAAAATAATTTAAAATAGAATTGTTTACTGATGTACGTGTTTTATCTCTCACTCAGGACATCATTATTTTGACATCGATTCTGGCATGTATGCACCTCTTCATTCCCCTCCTTCTCAGCACTTTACCATCATCTTCAATACCTTTGTCATGATGACACTTTTCAATGAAATAAATGCCAGAAAGATCCATGGTGAACGTAACATCTTTGAGGGACTTTTCACTAATCCTATATTTTATTCTATTTTGTTCATAACCTTTGGAGCACAGGTAGGTAGAAGATATAACCTAAAATTAAAGTACTACTGTTCATTAAACGTTAAAATTCTGCCATTTTTCTAAATTATTTCATACTTGCAAAGGTACCCAGCATTGCTATAAACATAGTGCTATAAAAGGAGACAT